TGGGAAGAGATTGCATCCACCCAATGTCCCCAACGTCTGGAAACAGAATGATACGTGGCTGATACTTGGTCCCAACATTTAAAAGTTTAGGGTTCTGATTGGTGAGAAAACGTGCAGTTTTGTGTAACTATGGAGCGTCTTAAAATGTTGGCAAAGACATGGCAGGCACCAAACATCTGTCTCTGTAATATTCCCATTTGGGCACAGTTTCCTTTGATTTTTGGGACAAGGTTTCACAACCTTGACAATGTAGAAATGTGTGGACTTCAAGTTCCAGAATTCCCCAGCCAGGAAATACAATGTGGACAGTGTCTGATATTCATTTCAGAACGGTAAACACTTAAGGTTTATGCTTAATATTTGAGGGAAAAATTATTGGCAACTTTGAGATGGGTAGACTTCAGTGAGTCTGTTAGCTGAGGAATTTTGGGAGTTGAAGTCTGCCCATCTCAAAGTGGCCAAGGCTGAGAGACACTGCTTTGGGTTCAAGTGAGCATCTTTCAAACCAAGCTAGCCATCATTTTTATTTGCAAACAATGTTTGTAAGGCTAGGTGAGAGATACAGGTAATCATAGAAATAAACATTGATTCTAGAACTTTGTGGCAAATAGCTTCCTGTCTAATTTTTTTTTAAGTGAAAATAATCTATTAAAACCACAGCCACCTTTGCAGAGATCCTGAGAAGCAAAACACCAAGAGCCAAGTTCCTGGCTGGGGGACGCTGGGAGTTGAGGTCCACCCATCTTAAAGTTGTCAAAGACTCCCAGAGAGAGTCAACCATTGATCTCCACTTTCTAGTATAGCTTTCTAGCCAAATGGGAGCTGATAAATGGCCTTGACCTGCTTTTCACTGGCTGACTGTAGGTCTGGAGATTCTGGATGGATGATTCCCCTCAACCTATCTTCTGAAAAATGGGTCAGCAGCTCATCCACCCTCTCAGCCATTCTGTGACAGCCTCATGAGAAACTCAGCTTGCTCCGTGGTATCAAACCTTTGTTCCATCTTAAAATATTGGGTGGTAACCAAGACTTCTCAGGACAGAAAGAGAACGACTACCATGCTATGATAACTTGGAATAAGAAATAAATTAGTCTAACTTATCAAGTCTAATGGAGAGAAAGACTAAGGGTGACATGATAGCATCTTCCAATACTGTCTCAGAGAGGGGGGGGGGGTGTCAACCTATTCTCCAGAGCACCTAAAGGCAGGACAAGAAACAGTGGATGGAAATTAATCAAGGAGAGAAGCAACCTGGAACTAAGGAGAAACTTCCTGACAGTGAGGACGATTAATCAGTGGAATGGCTTCCTTCAGAAGTTGTGGGTGCTCCAACACTGGAGGCTTTTATGAAGAGATTGGACAGCCACCTACCTGACATGTTATAGAGTTTCCTGCTTGACTAGGGGGTTGGACTAGAACAGGGCTTTTCAACCTTTTCACCCATTGTACCACTTTTAGGATATGGCAGTATCCGAGTACCATCAGTCGCCTAGCAAGGTGTCAAAACTCGATGACCAGGGAAAAAAAGGGAAAAAGTGATAAAGTACAGGTAGTCCTCGACTTACAACAGTTCGCTTAGTGACTGTTCGAAGTTACAAAGCCACTGAAAAAAATGCCCCCCAAGCCACAGCCAAGCAAGATACCTGCCTGCCCGCCCGGTGGTGCTCTTCCTCCTGTCCAAGGTTTTCATTGTTGTGAGCATTTCTGTTGAGGATTGGCAGCATGGGTGGGGTAGGGGGGTGTCTGGTTTTTATTCCCCCCCATCTGCTGGGTGGTTGCAGGAGGTTTTGTTCACTTCACATGACCCTGGGACACTGTGACCGTCATAAATATGAATCAGTTGGCAAGCATCTGAATGTAAATCACAAGACCCTGGAGATGCTGCAACATTCCAGCTGATCGGTGCTTCTTCTGGGCTCAGCAGGAGCTCCAGGATCAGCGCCGAGCTCCAGCTGGAGCCTGGCGCTGATCCTGGTGCTTCCATTGAGCCCTGACAGCCCGGAAGAAGTGTTGATCAGCTGGAAAGCGGCACTGATCCTGGTGCTTCCGCTGAGCCCTGACAGCCCTGCAGTTCCAGCCGTCTCTCGCTCAGGCTTGTGCGGTGCTGCCACCGGTTCAGCTCATTCCCCTCCCCTGCTACCCCTTTTCTAGGATGGTCGCGTACCACCTGCCAGGTGCCAATGTCCCACAGGTGGTACCCGTACCACTGGTGCAAAAGCCCTGGACTAGATGACCTCCGAGGTCCCTTTCAATTCTGTTATTCTGTACAGGTAGTCCTTGACTTATAACCACAGTTGAGCTCAACATTTCTGTTGTTAAGTGAATTTTGCCCAACTCTATGACCTATCTTGTCATAGTTGTTAAGTGAATCACTGCAGCTGTTGAGTTGTTGAATTGGTAACACCTCTCAAACATGACGGTGAAGGTTCGTTCTCCGAGCTCGTAGGCTGGTTTCTGAACGTTTCGTTACCAGGCTAAGTAACATCTTGAAGTTGAACTAAACTCCGTTGAAGACATTATCTAGCTTGGTAACGAAACATTCAGAAACCAACCCACAAGCTCGGAGAATGAATCTTCACCCTTATCCTACACCCAAGCTACAGAGATTCACCATTATTGCAAACAACTCAACTTAACACAGTTGTTAAGTGAATCTGGCTTCCCCATTAACTTCTCTGGTCAAATGGTCACAAAAGGGGATGTTCTGAACCCAGAACACTGCAGCCATCATAAATACGAGTCAGTTGCCAAGCATCTGAATTTTGATCACACAATCACAGGGATGCTGCAATGGTTGTAGATGTGAAAAACGGTCACTATTCCCTTTTTCCACTGCCATTTTAACTTTAGTTACTAAATGAATTTTTGTAAGCCGAGCACTACCTTTTATTCTGTATTAATGGTGGGATGCCACCGTGGGTTTGAATATCACTGCTTTCAACTTGGGTTTGATATTTTTCATCATAAACCTACATTACTGAATATCTTTTACTATTTAATATGGAGCTTGCAGGAAACCTTACCAAGAATAGTCAAAGGTGCTCTGTTTTCTTTATTAGAAATATTTTCTAGCTGTGCACCATGGAACATTGTCCCTCGAGACAGTGAGATGGGGAGCATATAAATTTAATAATCAAATAAAAGAAGTAAAAATAAACATTCAGTGCCCCATAGTTATTTTAATTTCAACCACGAACACTGTGAATGGTGTATTAGGTATGATGCAATTGGAACTGGTCTGCACAACATACCACATATGTTTCTGCTTATTATTATATTCCATATGCAAACAGTTTTCCTTTTTACACCTGAATGCAAAAGTTTAAGAAGCTTTCTTTAGAACTTTCTGGCCTGGCTAAACCATGTGTGAATGTAGTTCAAACAAGGAAGGACAGGAAAGTGACTCATGTTCAATATGGTGGTTGAGGTAACAGCAAAACGACACAGCAATTTCAGCATTAATCCATAATCTGAGGTTCAATATGACAATCATACAAAGGAATAACATCCAATAAATATAGCATCTTTTTACTAATATCAAACCCAGCACGACGGCTAATATCCATTTCAGAAACAACAAACATTTAAAGTGGATGCTTAAAATTGGAGTGAAACAACAATTTCTCAGTTCTAAAACTGAGTTCATTCATATAGGTTGCAATTTCAGCCCGCTGTGGATCAGAATAAATCCAGTGGTGCCTAGTTACCAACTTTAATTAAAAGTCATAAACTCGCATGAGACACAATTCACGACATACGAGCTTATCAGCTCATCAAAGCTTATGTGGCTTCATAAAGCTTGCTAATCAGAGAAGGTGCCACAAAAATCCTGATTTTTGGTTACCATTGACTACCATGGCTGTCCTCTCTCTGAGACTCCATTTTAAGGCAGCCCTGAATTTTTTGGGGTATCTCCTGCCACTGGTTAATGAAATGGCCCTACGTGAATGTCCAGGGTGATTCACAGAAATTTTGCTGAGTATCTCCAGCTTTTGTAAGCTCAACAGATAAGGATCGAGTCAACCATAAAGGAATTTTCACTCTTAGACACACAGAACAATAGAGTTGGAAGGGACTTTGGAGGTCTTCTAGTCCAACCCCCTACTCAAACAGGAGACTATTCCATTCTGGACAAATGTCTGTCCAATCTCTTCTTGAAAACCTCCCGTGATGGAGCACCCACAACTTCTGAAGGCAAAGCTGTTCCACTGATTATTTGCTCTCACTGTCAGGAAATTTCTAGACTCTAACGTCTTGTTTTGTATTGTGGTGATCAGAACTGGATGCAGCATTCCAAATGTGGTTTAATTAGTTTGGGTAATGAAAGATCTGCTAGAAAACAACCAAGCTCAGAGAGCACCAAGGGCCCCACAGTTCTCCACCACCTCCTCCACCACCTCCACCACCACCTCCTCCTCCTCCTCCCAGTTTCATTGCTTAGTCTTTTAATAGACACAAATATTCCTTTTAATGTTGCTTTTATAATGCAGTTGGATTTAAATTTTTTATTTGTCCTTTAACATGATGCAGTTGTTAATCTTGGAGCATGCTTGGTGAATATCTGGTAATGCATCTGGAGTTTGCCCTCAGATTTTGTTTGATTTTAATTGATTTATGTTTTAATGAAGACATACTTTAAATTACTGTAAGCTGCCCAGGGTTACCCTGGCCTATGCTAAGATGGGCGGCCAATAAATTTTATAAATAAAATAAATAAATAAGGGACCCAGTATTTCTGCATAGATTGGTCTAGAACAGGGACCTCCAACTTTGCCAACTTAAGG